AGTTACCTGTAGAGCCGTTGCTGGGCAGAGGATAGGTTGCTGGACTAGAAAGAATAAAAGGGCATTTCTTGCAAGTCCGTTGTGTGCTGTACACTGTGCTGGCACTTGTTTTTGAGGGCTGTGCAGAAACCTGGGGGAGGAGAATGAGATCTGCCTGGTCTGGAGGGACCCTAGGCTGAGATGAGGGCAGTCTTGAGTACCAGGGGACCCTCACCCAGAGACTGGCATGGTTATTTACACATGGGGACTACCAGAAGGCTGTGGTTGGTCCCAGGGGGAAGAGAGAACTTGAGGGATGGAGAGGAGAGATTGGGTTGGGTGGAGAATCCATCTACAGCATTTGGGAGGCAGGGACAGGTCAGGGCTAGGATGGTGAAGCAGCTTCCTGTTTACTAGGCCAGCAGGAGGCCCAGCCATGAAGGAAGAGATTCCTCCTGCTGTCTTATATCCCAGTCATTGGCACTGCACAGCCTCAGGGCTGAGAGAGGGGTTCCTACCCAAGCTCTTGCCTCCTCTCTTTCATCTTCCTTCTGCGTTTTTGACCTCAGCCTCTTTCTTGCATCTGAGACTCTCAAGGGTCTTGGTCTTATCTCTGGGCCTGGATCTTTCATATAAAACTTCTGTCTGTGTTTCTTACTCTCTGCCTCTAGCTCTCCTGTCTGAGTCTCCCATTCAGTCTCCCTTTCCCCACCAGCCCAGGGCTCTTCTTGTTTTCTTTGTCCTTCTCACTGCTCTGTGCATTGCCGTGCATTGGCTCTCTTCTCTTGGGTTGGGTCGTGTGATGACTCAGGCCCTCTTTTCCTGGATCAGTCAGCCTCTCTCATTCTCCTCTGTTCTCCTCTCCCGTCTCTGTTGAGCCATGGGTCTTCTTTCTTACCCTTAATTTGGGTCTCCTATATCTCATTATGGGTCTCATGATGGGACTATATCTGTGTCTTTCTGTCTGTCTGACTACTGTCTCACTACTGGACCTTGTGGCCAGCCTCTGCCCACCATTAAGAGACTCCCTAGACCATCCAGAGGCCTGAGGAGGGATAGGTGGTGGGCAGCTGAGGCCCACCCTGATGAAAAGGGCTGACACATCCTCTGCTTCACTGCCTCCCATGTGTCCATTGCCTGCCAGCCACATGGGTGGGGGTGCCTTCCTGCTCGTTTGTTCTCCTGGGGGACCAGGCACTGTGCTGGCTTTCCTGAGCCTTCTTGGCCAATCCCCCCTCCCCCATGACCCTCTCCCCAGATCATTACCTCAGAGGAGGCGGAGCGGCGGGGCCAGATCTACGACCGCCAGGGTGCCACATACCTCTTCGACCTGGACTACGTGGAGGATGTGTACACCGTGGATGCCGCCTATTATGGCAACATCTCCCACTTTGTCAACCATAGTGTGGGTACCCCGCAGGCGGGCGGGGGTTGGGAGGAGCAGGCTGGGCCCCTCCTCACCCTCCTGCTGTTCTTTTTCTCCCAGTGTGACCCCAACCTCCAGGTGTACAACGTCTTCATAGACAACCTTGATGAGCGGCTGCCCCGCATTGCTTTCTTTGCCACAAGAACCATCTGGGCAGGCGAGGAGCTCACTTTTGATTACAACATGCAAGGTGGGGGTGTCAAGGGACCGGGGGCAGGGGCACACAGTGACATGGGACACAAGGACCCCTTCCCAAGGAGCTTTAAGATGCTCTTTCTGACTCCTAGTCTCCCATCTGGACTTTTGGACCCCTGCCTACCCTTTGGGAGTCCCCTCATTCCCAACCCTTGGACCAACTTCTCCCAAGACTCCTGGGGGAGGAAGATGTTTGGCTTGAGAGTTATGATACTTCTCCTGACTCCAGTCTTGTCTGAAATATCCCCAGTCCCCCAACCCTCCCTGTTCCTAACCCTTTTTGGCTTTCCTCATTCCAAGCCTCTGGACACCCTATGGCCTCCAACCAGTCCCCTACTTGACAAACTAGCCACCTCTGAGACACTCAAGAGGGGATCTTTGGCAGGAGAGTTCAGATACCCCTCTGATGCCCAGGTGACCCTTCATTCCTGGACCTCTGCCTGACACAACCCTCCTGGTTCTCCCTGACAACCCCGTTTCCCCCACAACCCCAACCCTTGACCATCTTCCTTTCCCCCATAACCTCCAACCCCTGGCCATCTTCCTAACACTTGAACTCCCTCCAGTGCTAAGCCCTGGCCCTAGTCCCAAACTACCAACTCCACAACCCCCATCCTGACCCAAATCCCAGACCTGCTCCCAGTCCCCAAGATCCCTGGGTCTCATGGTAAAGGGGCAGTGGGACACTTCACCTAGGCCTTCTAACAAGTCCCCTCCCCCCTCCCACCTTCCCTGGCTGTGTGACTCCACAGTGGACCCCGTGGACATGGAGAGCACCCGCATGGACTCCAACTTTGGCCTGGCCGTGCTCCCTGGCTCCCCCAAGAAGCGGGTCCGTATTGAATGCAAGTGTGGGACTGAATCCTGCCGCAAATACCTCTTCTAGTCCTTCGAAGTCTGAGGCCAGACTGACTGTGGGGACCTAAAGCCACCCATCCCACCCACCCCGTGCCCACTTGCCCTCCTGTTGAGGAATGACTGCCAGGGCCTCC